CAGCGTCATAGTGTGAGAAAATTTGAATAGACAAGTTAAGTTTCCTTCCCTTTTGGTTAGTTTAGTAATCTGGGTAATAAACAGAAATTTTATGGAAAAATCGAGTAAGTATTGATTGAGGGTGTGGGCGTGGAATATGGTGGGTGTAGGTGTGGGTGTGGGTCGAGGGTGAAGAGGACTAACACACCTACACCCCACACCCACACCCATACACACACCCGTACCCACACCCGTACCCACACCCCACACCCACACCCCACACCCACACCCATACACACACCCGTAGCCACACCCGTACCCACACCCCACACCCATACCCATGGAAAAATTTTCGAACAAAAACCGCAAGAAACCGCGGTTTCACAAACTACAGTAATAAACGGTTTTCCGAAAACGTGAAAGTCAGACCTTTTATGAGGTTTCTGAAAACCACCAAGAACCGCGGTAATTTCACACCGCGGTTTTCAGCGGTATCCAAAACCGCATAAAAGGTCTGACTTTCGCGATTTCAAAAAACCGTTGATCACTGTGGTCTGGAAAAATCGCATAAAAGGTCTGACTTTTGCGGTTCATTCAAGCGGTGATGACCGCGGTGTACAAATACCGCAGTTTTTGGTGATTTTAAAAAACCGAATAAAAGGTCTGACTTATACGGTTTTCTAAAACCGCTGGAAACCGCGGTTTTTTAGACCCCTATATACCACGGTTTCCGTGGCCACACCTGACTTAGGTATGGTCAGACTCATCTGAACTTATGATAAAGTTCAGGTGAGCGACCCTTCAAGGGGCCTGTAGTGAACTTTTAGAAGTTCCATTACCACAAAGTTACTTTGTAGTGAGAGATAGAATAAGAAAACTTATTCAAAATTTTCATGAAAATAGCGGGGCACGACATCCTCTTCGTCCTTACACATTCCATCGTGATGGTATAAGCACCAAAAATACCACGGTTTCTCTGCTGGAAAACGCGGTAATAAATAACGCGGTTATTCGATAGCATACCGCGGTTTCTGGAATCGCTGAATATTGTGGTATCTGCCACCGCAGTTACTAATGACTATACCATGGTTTTATGAACCATTGAATACTGTGATATTTATCACCGCGGTTACTGATGGCTATACCGCGGTTTTAGAAATCGCTGAATACCGCGTTATTTATTACCGCAATAAATAATGACTATACCGCAGTTTTTGAAACCGCTCAGTACCGCCATTATTAACTACCGCGACTACTGACGGCTGTACAGCGGTTTTAGAAATCGCTAGATACCGCGGTATTTATTACCGCAATAAATAGTGACTAAAACCGCAGTTTTTGAAAGCGCTTAGTACTGCCCTTATTTACCACTGCGACTAGTGATGACTGTGCGACGGTTTTCGAAACCGCTAGATACCGCGGCTTTTGATGACTATATTACGGTTTTAGAAACCGCTCGATACTGCGGTATTTATCACCGCAATTAATGATGACAATACCGCAGTTTTAGAAACCGCTCAATACCGCGGTATTCACTACTGCGTTATTGATGACTACACCGCGTTTTTAAAAACCACTTAATACCGCGATGTTTACCACCACGGTTACTAATGACTATACTGTGGTTTTTGAGGCCGTTGAATACTGCGGTATTTATTACCGCAATAACTAATGACTATACCGCAGTTTTTGAAACCGGCCAGTACCGCCTTACTTTCCACCGCCGGTACTGATGAATACACCGCGGTTTAAAAAAACACTCAACACCGCTGTATTTATCATCGCGGTTACTAATGACTATACCGCGGTTTTGAAAACCGTTGAATACCGTGCTGTGAAATACTGTAGTTTCCAATTACCATACTACGACTTTTCAGGCCGTTGAATACCGCGGTATTTAGAACCGCGATTATGAACAGGAGCAACGCGGTTTCAAAAAACCGCGGTTCAAAAAAACCGCTACCAACTGCGGTTGAATGAAGAAAACTGCGGTTTCGAGCGGTTTTTCGAAAAAATTTTTCCGTGGGTACCCACACCCCACACCCACACCCATACCCACACTCTGGATCGAATAAGTGTATTTGGAAACATGTGAGGTAGTAGAGATAATGCAAAAACCTAATTTCATGGGAAAACCTAGTGTTTTTCTTCCATATAGAAAATGTGAGTTTTTTAACATTTTTCAGTGTATTAAATTTCTCGAAATTTTATAAGTTCGACATTACAAAGTTTACAAAACCCTTATTATTTAGTATCAGTAAATCTCATTTTTGACGAGCTTTCATTTGGTATAAAATTTATTATATACTCCTTCCTGAAATAATATTATTTCCTATATGGCATCAATTAAGTTGGTCACCTCCATATATGTAAGTTTTTAGGCCTATCATGTATAAGCCTTATCTTTTGATAAAAGAAGTGTTTCAATTAAGCGGATTATAGAGAAGAAAATTCGAAAATACTACGACCGCAATTTATTCTGCGCCACCCGATAGAATTTATACGTTATAAATGGACAAAATTATTCATTTGCCGATCAAAATATTTTTTTAATGGCTATTTTCGCATTATTCACTTGACTATGATGCATTTTAATGATCAAAATGGTGTGTGGTCGAATAATAATGCATTTTAATGACCATTTTTTCATTATTCTTTTGACTTGGCAATTGAGCTCCCAGAAATCGTTTTGATTTTAAAAACTTGTTCAATTTTTAGAAACTGATTTTCTTTCTAGAAATTCATATCATTTCATGGAAATTCCTATAAGACATCATATGTTTTTCTTATATTTTTAGTCATGGGTCTATCATGGACTGGCTATACATTAATATATTATTTAAGTCAAATAAGTTTATTTCCTATTATTCTGATTTTAATCTACATCCTTATGCCGACTGACTTGCTGAGTTGGATTCTGAGCACAATATTTTTCCTGGAAGACGTGGATATCAAGGCCAAAGATACGAAGAAGTCTCCGGATTCGTGTAAATGTGGATGTACGCGGGAGTCGTTCAAGAACTGGTGTCATAAACGCAATTCAATTTCGCCGGACAACTCAGCTTCGACTGGCAATTCAGCTTTGGTCAGCAATTCAGCCTCGACTGGCAATTCAGCTTTGGACAGCAATTCAGCTTTGGTCAGCAATTCAGCCTCGACTGGCAATTCAGATTCGGCTGACAATCAGTGCTTCTTTAAACGATTTTCTGATTGTCATTGTATGAACATTTGTGGCATTTGTGGACATGATGGCCTAAGCGATAAGAGATTGCCTCCCGGTCACTTGTTGAAACTGGAAGAAGGTGCAAGCTTAAACAGACTCAGTGTGTATATATTATTAAGTATATGTGTCTGGTGCGCATCAGTGGCTTTTTTTGAAGGAGCCATATTAAGTTTTACACCTATTCCCAATGGCGTTACTTGTCCAACCCCAAAAAGAGGCACCGGCGCAACTCTAGTGGATTGTTTTATTTATCAAAATTCATCCGGTATTGCTCCGATAAACGGTAGTTTTCCTATTCAATGTAATAGCACTATGGATAATCTTTCATTCAATGGTACTTGGGCGGCGTGTTTTGCATGGATTGCTTTGGATATACAAGTAGTTGACGTTATAGAAGAGTTGGGAATTTTTGCTGGAATAATGGCATTTATGGGTAGTGCTGTGGCAATTATGAGTTATTTATGTCAAAAACATCGATGGCGTTTTTTCTTTGATATCGTTGCTGTTTTGGCTATTGCAACCATTCCGATTTTGCTAACAAAAAGGAATGGTGTTCCATTCTTAACTTACATACTTTTAACATCATTCTGTTTTAGCATCGGGATTACAGAATATATTTTGGGTTATGTTCCTCTCCCTACATATAGCTGCCTTGCAATTAAGATCATCAACCTTGCAATTAAAATGTTCAAGTCTATAAAAAGAAATTGTTTTAAATCAAGCACACAACCAATAAACAATGAAGACTACACTGTGGAATCAGAAACGCCATAACTTAAAACTAAAATTACAAGCCTGTAATTCATTACATTTTTGCACTAAAACTGTTTGGAAGATAAATGTTGTAATTGTAGAAGTCACTTTTTTGTAATATTTTATCTCTTTTATTTATTTTCAAATTAATTCTAACTCTTAATTTTGCATTTAATTTTCCATTACACTTATTTTAATAATGTTTTATTCTTTCTCCTATTTTCTTATGCGGTCAATGGTTTACTTTACTGCTTCTTTTATGTTTTCCAATAAACAACTTTCACAAAAGAGAAACAGAAATTTTTCGAAAATGTTTTGACCAAAGTGGATAATACATCAATCGATTAAGAGATCCTTATGTTCTTTCTACCAAGAAAAAGATCACTTTCTATTTAGACTTCGCTCTAAAATGACAACCTCATGGGAAGTACTTGATGAAATTTATGTCGATCATTCTCGCTCTACTTCATTCGTATGCATTGAAGTTACTTGCAAAATGAATAATCGAAAAAGATAAAAGTCCAATATAGTTTTTTAGTCTTATCAGAAGCTTTTCTCTCTCGGTCCCCTATGATTAATTTTAAAATGTTCGTTTCTTGCGTTCATTAAAAAATATACATCTGAATACAATCAGTAAGATTTGTATGTGAGTGTGGGTGTGATATGAAGATATACACTCACACCCACACCCTTCTTTTACTTGTATTATTCCTACTCGTCAAAAATAAATGTTATTTCTGTTTTCTTTCTGTCGCGACATTGACGTGACATGTGCAATATATTCGTTTTGATTTGCAGATTCATGACATGTTATAGTAAAGTAATAACAAAAATCAAAATATTTATCTTCTATCCTTCGCTTTTTTGACCTCACAAATTTTTGCACTTGTTTGAGCCATATTAATTCATAGTTTTATAAGTAATACGAAAAAAAAGCACAAGAAATATTTAGGAAAATATCAAAATACATATACATTATTCATTTGTATTATTTTAAGTTTTCGCAGAAAAAAACGATTGATCTTGATGTTGATTCTATATATAAATGAATATTTTTAAACGAATTTTCAATGTTTTGAACAAAATAGCATTAGCTAATGATGTTCGAATTATTTGGTTAGATACTCATATCGGCCAAGAAAAAGGATATGAGAATTTAAAAAAAATGCTTTGTAAGACATTAGAAGAAGCTGATGCAGTTTCACCAGATACAATCAATGTACTTATTTGGACTTTAGAACAGAGTGTTGCACAATTTTTATTCGCTCATACACCTGAAAAGGCAAAAGACCTTATTGAAATTCATCATGATAAACAAATTATATTCATTCCATCCGAATTCCTTGGCAAGAAAATAATTCCAGAACTCATTCGCACTTATTCTTACATTTATCGATATTATTTCTTTTGTGAAAATATCACAAATTATGTTGAATTTGGTTTAGATTACATATCTTGTTTATAAATGTTCGATCATGAAATTGATTTTATTTGTTCGGCTTGCATGTGATATATCAAATGATATAATTAAACAAGGTGAAATATATATGAAAATAAAATCGATAGATTGAATGGTCCATATCTTAAATATATAAGTCAACTTAATGGTGATGATAATAATATTGGATTGATTTAACAAGCAAAAAATATGCTAAACCAAAAAGAAAAAGAACAATTATCACAACAAAAATCTCAAGAATAATAAACTAAATAATTATTCTATTCTTTTTTTATGAATTATTATTTTTTGTTGCAATATTATTGAGTCATGTTGAAATAAAGAAGCACATTTTGTATTGGAAAAAAAAACCGAATCGTCTTCCAAATGGCCACAAAAAACAATGTGTGATTCTTGTTTTTTTTCTTTCTTCGCCTTGATATCATCATTTTTCTTGCGTTCTTTCTCTCTTACCACTGATGTCTTTTTTTTCAAATTCCAAGCTGCATATATTCAACGTCAACAAACGTTGGAATTTTTATATTTCCACCAGTTCTTTTCATTGTCAATTATTATTCTAGATAAAAATGCCAAATGATGCTAATGCATCGAATGAAGAAAAGCAGATGAATATCAACATTTAAAATGTGCTTTTTCCAGTATAGCTGATTCGAAATATATGAATGTCCAATAAAATTAATCGATAAAGATTATGATGAATTGATTCGTTTTGATGGTTATAAATCAATTAATTTTGAAAATATTCAATTTTTATTAGCAGCATTTACAAATGCTGAATGTTGTGTAGAATTTATAGAAAAAAATCAAGATAAATGAATATTTTTTATTACATCTGGACAAATGGGAACAGTAACTGTACCATTAGTTATTAGAAAATGTCGGAATACATTTATTGATCCAATTACCAATGAATCTTATTCATCAATACTTTCGACAAAGATTTATTAGTACGCGTATGATACGTAATATAGCTAATTATTTTGTTGAGGAAAGTAAACGTTTATTGAATGGTAATTCTTCAAATAAATCAGCTGCTTAAAATCATCTTAATTGGGCACATGAACTTTATCAACGATATAAAAAAATGGAAAATAATTCATTAAGAAAAGAATTTAATGAAGTTAGTCAACTTCTTGAATCTCTAGAAGAAGAATTTGAAAAATCATCGGATAATCAAGATTGACTTATCAATGAACTTATATTTAGAAAAAAAAATTTTCGATTATAAATCGATTAAAACAAAGAATAAAAATTAAATACGATTCTTTTGTTTTTACTATTTGCTTTTGACAATACAAAACTTACTCTACCAGTTTATTGCTTTTCTATGACTCATACGACACATGTTTATGATGATGATGATGATGACATTTATTGTTTCTATGCAAAACCGATAAACAATGGTTTTTTTCCTTCAGCTGTATTGGATTTACTGAAAAGGGTGTGGGTGTGGGGTGTGGGTGTGGGTGGCTGGGTGTGGGTGGCTGGGTGTGGGTGGGTGTGGGTGTGGGG